GAGGAGATGTGATTTTATAGATAAAATCGTATATACGGAGTATATACAAACAGTAGCATAATGGGTCAAAACATCTCCTGTAGCTCACATGGAAACGCAGCTGGATGTTGGCGGCGTGGTGCTGGGTTCGAATCTTCCCACCGTCTCCTATTTTGTCATTTTCTCCCAATTCATGAGCCGAATATTAGAACAGATATTATTCGCGCTCTGTCACTGAAAAGCTGAACAGTCAGTTGTGGTGCAATGGTCAGAGTTTCAAATCTCTACCTCCAAGTCTTGAGTTCGAATCCTTGCTCCTTTTTTTCTTATTCTTTATTTGTTTCCTTCTTTTCTTCAATTCTCTTCAATTTATTTTGGTCCCAAACTTCCATGTTTATTTTCCGTTCTTGAAATTGTTCTCAATGCGTCCAAATGGCCTCAAAATACCTACAAAACATATAAAACCAAGCATAGGACCGCTCTACACAAATAAAACGGAAAATTGAAATAAAATATAAACATTAAATTCAATTGAGACTCAAAACTCCTTCAAAATATGCTTAAAAAGTGTATAAAATATGTGCATATCATTTTCCAATATAAAATGCATATTCTTTAAACAAGGTATTTGTATTATGCGCATAATATCAAATGATTTGATTATGAATTGTGATTCTGTTTATGTGGATGTTCGATGCATTAGATATCCTTACTCATCTTCATCGTTGAGCGTGTAATATGTTTTATTTTTTACATGTAGGTAATCAAAATAAAGAATAATGTGACATTGATCCTGGAAGCATATGGGGACGAGATGTCAGACGAATGTGTGATGATTTCAAACTGTTGAATAAATATTTCAAAAATGGATTATTTATCTTTTATGATTGTGATGTGAAACAATTATTTTAATCTTTTGAAAATTTGATAAACTATGTTATTGATCTGAATATTTTATTATGATCAAATAAAGTTTGAAATGTTTTAAATTTAAGATGTTACCAAGTTAATACTTTAGTCTAAAAGGGGTTGCAGTCATGGACGGATTAGGGTGTTTAAGTTAAGGTGTCAGCCAGAATATTCACCTTTCCAATATGGTGGTCGGTGTTGCGATCATAATCTTTGACCAATTTCAATCGTCTTCATTGCCTTATGTTTATGTTTTTTCTAAGTGAGCAAATACTCTTGCGATCAGTGAAGCTGTTTATGTGTTCTTCGTACAAGTAGTGTCTCCATTCTATGATTGTGACGATCTTTGATGGCCATTTATACGGATAATTAATATGTCCAACGAATGCTTTGAGGCTTGACATTGCTGAGATTGTATATGCGAATAGACCATGAAATGATGATAATATAAATCAAGACAATAGGAGTGAAACTAATAGAAACAAAGGGATGAAGAGAATCAAGAGGCTATGATTATAATGAGGTTGTAACGGAGGACTACATTTCCTTATAATTGTAAAAATGTAGAATTGAATGACTTGCTTTGATTAATTACCAACAATGTATATATACGAGAATATACACGGTCCAAGTACATGCCCCAATAATGTAAAACAAGTCAATACATATAAACAAAGCTAATTAATATATCACAATACTCTCCATCAAGTTGAAGCATGAAGATCATAAATGTCTAACTTGGACAATAATGTTTGAAACAGAGGTCCAGTGACTTGGTAAATATATCCACAATCTGGAATCGAGTAAGAACATAAGCAGTGACGATATGCAACACTGAAGACGCTCACAAACAATGTGACACTCAATATCAATTTTTTTTATTGCTCATGATCGAAAAACAAGATTGGCCACAATACAAATTCGGAACAGCAACGCAAGGGACGGCCGATGAGGCTAACAACCCACAAAGCCAACGTACCTTAGTACATGTGTTAGCCATGACAGGGTATTCAGCCTCAGTAGAGGAATGAAAAATAATTTGCTTCTTCGTGCGCTAGAAGATAGGAGACTGTCCTATATAAATAAAATAACCAGCAACAAAACATCGGGTAAGTGGATAACTCGCCCAGTCCGAGTCTTAATAAATAGTCAAAGCAAGATCAGTGTCTTTGCGTAGTAAAATACCTTGTCAAGGGTGACCTTTGAGATAGTGAATGACTCGCATAGCACCATTAAGGTGATCTAAACGAGGAGGATACATAAACTGGGACAAAGCATGTACCCAGTAATAGTAAGATACAAAATACGACCCACAATACGATAATACTTAGTCGGATCTCTAATCTCAGCAATGATAGACCACACCAGGTTATGTCTTGGCTGAATAGGAGTGGTGACGGGATTACTATCAAACAGTCCTGCCTCCTGAATAATGTCCAGAGTATACTTGCGTTAATTTAATACCATACCCTCTCATGTGCGAGCAGATTCAAAGCCCAAAAATAAGAGACAGGACCAAGGTTCTTTAACTTAAACTGTCATGGAGATATTTTTTAAAGGATTTACACCACTTGCCACTAGTTCCTACGACAAGAACATCACCAACGTACACAAGAAAAACAAAAATATCCGGACCCCGACGACACACAAATAACATGTAGTTAGCGTGAGCCTGTCTAAAAATGTACCTGTGCTGAGCCTCACAAAGTTTGACAAACCAATTGCGTGAAGATTGGTGCAGACCATACAAAGACTTACAAAGACGGCAAACTTTCTCATGATTAGACAAATACTTAGATGGCGAATTTACAAAAGCTCATGCATCTTCCATCGATCGTGTTGTTCTCCTTAACCAACATAATCTTCACTTTGACCAAAACTCGTCCGGATCAAGTTCCTCAAGCTATGCGTCTTCCATCGATCCAGTTTTTCTCCTTCACCAACGTTTAGGTGACACATCTTCAGCTATTACTTCCTTTTAAATTTGAATAATAGTAGTTCTTCTATCAAGAAACTGCAAACTTGTGAGATTTGGTTCATGTCCAAGCAAACTCGTACATCTTTTCCTTCTACCACAAATAAAGCTGACTTTATATTTGATTTAATTCATTGTGAATTATGGGGGCCTTATTCTGCTTGTTTGTCGTCTGGTGCACATTATTTTTACAATTGTTGATGATCATTCTAGAGATGTTTGGGTTTATCTTATAAAAGAAAAGATTGAAATCACTTCATGTCTTAAAATATTTTTTTCTATGATTCAAACTTATTATAACAAAATCACCAAAACTATTTTTTCTGGAAATGCTACAGAGTTTTTAAACACTCCTCTGTGCAAAATTTACATTGACATGGGTGTTACAAAGGCTCTTAGTTCTCAACACGAAAGTCCTTTTTCACTCTTTCTTATACGAGGGGATTACACTTTGAATAGAAAATGTTGCATTAGGAGGTAAGTCTCCTATCGAGATTTTATCTTCTAAATATCAAATTATAAGTCATCTCTATGTTTTTGTCATCAAATCAACTGTATATAATTTGATGGTTTGCATTCCACACATTTAATTCATGAGGATCCGTAGGTTATAAGAACCCCGTTGTGTATGAGAAAATCATCTTTACCATGTCCTCCCAATGCAATCTGAATAGCTTTCTACCAAATATTGTAATTATCACATCGAAGAAAATTTTTGGTCAAGGAGTTACCTGCATGTTCGGATGGATGAAGATAATATATGGTGGCGGGGAACTTGAAGGTCGCTCTGATACCATGCAGAAATTTAGAATAGAATGACTTGATTTGATTAATTACCAACAAGGTATATATACAAGAATATACACAGCCGACTAATGTAAAATAAATCAAAGCCCATGACGGGTAGTCCATCAAAATGGGTGTCCTCGGTGGTCCACATCAAAACATCTCTAAATAAGGCATTTCGTTGCTCAATATTTAAATCAAAGCCCATGATGGGTAATCCATCAATCGGAAGTCCTAGTAAGCATTCCACGTCATGTAGGGTGATACCCATCGCACCGAAAGGAAACTAAAATGCGTGTAACTCTGGTCTCCAACGCTCCACAAGAGAAGTGATTAGACCATGGTCTAATCGGATAGGTTGCACACGGTGCCCTCCATAAAACCCTGACCGGTGCAACAATTCATAGACTCCATCATCATGAAAAACCGTTGAAAGACTACCTTCGTAGCGAACCGGAGAGACTTTGTTGTCTATAAAACCTGAGCTATGCCACACTTCACGCGAACGATGTTTAGCTTGTAAAGTAAGAATGTCTCTCGATCTAGGACCCGCTATTTCTCTCTCAGGGTCATACATTATGCTTCAAAAAAAATTCTAGTGAACTTCTATCTACTCACAGTACAATAAAATGGTTAAAAAACAAATATCTTGTGTAAAAAAATATGCATTACATATTGTAAAATTAAAAAAAATATGCATTACATATTGTAAAATTAAAAAAATATGCATTACATATTGTAAAATTAAAAAAAAATATGCATTACATATTGTAAAATTAAAAAAATTTATGTATTACATATTTAAAAAACTTATAAAGAATTATTCTAAGAAAACATACATCAACTTCTTGGATGATTATGGAAGAATAGATAAATTTTGAATATTTAGTGAGAAAAGAAGAGAAAGAATATGAGATGTAGTTGAAGAGATTATGTATTTTGAGTAAAAAAAATGAAAAGAATTAATTATTTGTAGTAGAATTGAGACGGGTAGTAGTTGAAGGGATTAGGTGTGAGAATATAAAGAGTTTGGAGTGTGAAACGGAGAAGAGGGAGGGGGAAGCACTGTGCGGCACTGTAGCGACATTATTTTGCCTGAAATGGCTTTTGGAAAGCCAAAAAACAAAATTAAATAAAGGAAACGGCTTTAAGAAAGCCGAAAACCAAAAAAATTCAAAATAAAATCGGAATGTCAAAGACCGATTTTTCCTGTCAGGAATTTACCTTTGCCACTTGAGAATTATATTCAAAAAAATTTCCAAATAAGGAAAACCACCCAAATACGGAGTACTTTCTATAACATTATCTAGAGCTGGGTCGAAAAAACCGAAAACTGAAAACCAAAAACCGAACCGAAATCGATCAAAACGAGCTAGAAAAAAAACCGAACCGAAAAAACCAAAACCAAATGTAAAAAACCGAACCGCTACTGTTTGGTTCCGTTTTGGTTTTTACTTTGAAAAACCAAACCAAACCGAATAAACCGAACTTATTTATATGCTTCTTTTTTATGTATATGAGTATATGTGATATGTATAAAAATCATATAAACAAACATGCAAATACATTACTAGTTGATTAAAGTTTTTTAATTAACTACTCCGTATTAATTAAACATTTTAACCATGTTATAAACTTTAAAAAGTCTAAGATATAAATACCAATAACAAATCCTAATATAGAATTATATAACATTAAAATTTAATATGAGTAGTTAACATATTTACATTAAAAAAACTTTGATGTTATAATGTAAATAAAAGTATTATATAAAAAACATAAATTCTCTATAGTTGATTTTATATACGATATCTTTAGGACTATTTGAAATCTCCTAGATGTTTTTTAGGCACTTGACACATATTTTCTATGTAAAATTGAACCGAATAGAACACTAACCTTCCGTTCGGCATTTTTTGTGTAAAAATCAAGCAAAAAAACCAAACCCAAACTTACATATTGTTATTGTTTCGTCGAGTTAGTATTTAGACAATTTTTAATGCTTATAAGTATTTACTTTTATAAACCGAAAAAACCAAAATAAAAACCGCATAAAACCGAATCGAATAACCAACGGTTTACATATTTTTTATGCAAAACCGAACCGAACCGCCAATTTACCTTCCGTTTTGTCTTTGGTTTTGGGTAAAAACCGAACCCACCCCTAACATTATCTACCAAAAAAATCTCACATTAATTTACTTTCATTAAGAAAAGAAATCTCTTATAAACCGGATTTCCTTTCTTTGGAATAAATTCTAACATTTTTCTCTTCAATTTCACAGAATTTTCTTTCTTTCACCAGAAAATATGGAAGCCAATAAGGAATTTGGTAGTCAAATCTCACAAAAGCCGTCCATTCCATGGCGGACCCGCTTCGCTCTTTCCATCGCTTCCGCCGTCACAGACGCCTCTCGCCGCCAAAACGGCACCGTCAATCGCCGTCTCCTTAAAGTATTCAGCATCAAGTCTCCCCCAACCCCAAACCCCGTTAACGGCGTCAAGTCTTCCGACATCACCGTCGACCCTGACCGCGGCCTCTGGTTCCGCCTCTTCGTCCCCACCGCCGCCGACGCCCGGGAATCGAACTCCCTCCCGGTAATTGTCTTCTTCCACGGCGGCGGCTTTGTGTATCTCGGTGCCGATACTCGTGAATACGACGCCGTGTGCCGCCGATTTGCGCGCAAGGTCCCAGCGCTAGTTATCTCAGTTAATTACCGGCTTGCACCGGAGCACCGGTACCCCGCTCAATACGATGACGGATTCGATGTGCTGAGGTTCCTCGATCATGAAAGTAACAGGGGAATTTTGCCGGGAAATGCTGACGTGTCCCACTGTTTTCTGGCCGGAGATAGTGCCGGAGGAAATCTGGCACACCACGTGGCAAAGCGAGCATCGGAGTCTAGCTTCCGTGAGGTTAAGGTAAGGTAATTATTGCGTACAACTTCCCATTTTAACTAAACAGGACTAAAACATAATAATTTCCCAATATAGGACCATATGTTTTTATTTCTCAATGTAGGACCTTTGGTCATTATAAAGTAGTCATTATTCAAGTAAATGTCCATCATTACTGGACATTATTCCTCCCACTAGGCCACTATTAAGTCATATTTAGGGAATAAAAATGTTTAAGTCCTACATTAAGAAAGTCATTATGTTATAGTCCTATTTACTGCAAATTTCACTTTTAACTTCCCAAAGATTTGTTCTTGTAATTGACTTTTCAATTAATCTCACTATCCACCAATAAACTTTTCGTTACGCGTTACGATATTTGACTGAAGTTATTTTCAAATCATTTTTATGAAAAAAGGTGGGAAATTCAAAAATAAAAATTAGACATTAAAAAACTATATCAAAAAATATACAAAACTAAAGGTGACATGACTATATTATTTTATCAAATGAGTGACAAAAATAGGCCAAAAAAGTGAATAAAGTTTGACCTTGTGAATAGTGAACGAGAAGTTTATTTGTGGAGAGAGAGTATATTTTTTAGCGTAAAAAAAGAAACACGTAAATAATTTCTGAGGCCGGTTCCGTAGCCACTGGTTTCCAATGGCCACGGAAGCCATTGCCCTCCTACGGAGCTCCGTTCATGAAATTGATGATTCCTACCCCCCTAACCCCCGCGGTAAACCCCCCGCCAAGTCTCGACCCAAACTACTACCCTACATACGTCAATTGCACCTCGTAAGTATAATTGACTTTAAAGTCAAAAATTTTGACTTTATACTTACGCGGTGCAATTGACGTAGGTGGGGGGAGTAGTTACAGTCGGGACTTGGCGGAGGGGTTTACCGGGGGTAGGAATTATCAATTTCATGAACGGAACTCCGTAGGGGGTAGTGGCTTCTGTGGCCACTGGAAGACAGTGGCTACAAAACCGGCCTCATAATTTATTATATCAATGCAAAATGGATATAGTATATACCAATGATTTTATTTGGATATATTAGTTTTTTTTTTTGCAAAAGAAGAAATGTTTTGAAGAAGATGAAAAAAATTAAAGGGGAAGTTTTTTATAGAAATCACCCTAAATAGAATTAAAAAATAGAAAAAAGTACCAAACTAAGAGTTACGTATTTTTATTCCTAAAGTAGAACTTCGGAATGTGGTAATGTGGTTGTACTGTGACATTGTACATGTGCACATTACTATATTTTTTGGAATGACCATGTTTGTTAATATAAATGCATTTTAACTCCTATTTCAAGAATAAAAACATGAAAATCCTAATTTGTAATATTTTTAATATTTTACTCCTACTTTAGTGTTTTTCCCCTTTATTACACCATTCAAATATATATCAAAAGCTTTACAAAACAAAATGTTACAAGAATATATACTTCTATCAAACAGTTAATGAAAATATGCATACAAACATAATTATCGAGATAACATATAATAATAATAATAATAATAATAATAATAATAATAATAAAGAAAATTAATTTGGGAGGGATTGAAAATGAAACATTAAAGTCAAAATAAGAAGTTAAAAGCTGTGATAAAAAATACAACAAGAACTGTTAGAGTGTCATCCCACATCAAAAGTTCAAGAGCAAAATAATTGTTATATAAGCTTTTGGGTTGAACTATCAAATCGATTGGATTCAATTTTGTAGTGTGATTCAACCCGGGTGTCTTATAGCCCAATCTGGTTATCCATATCCCATCTCAAATTTTATCATAGTATCAAAGCAGGTTTTGGCCCAGCTTGTTTGTCAAGGTGTCCATCTAGATGTTCATTTCTAGCGGTCCATTAGTCTTTAGCCCTACTGTTCGTATAGAGTATATACCCAACGGCCTGTATGTAGCCCGTTTAACACGATTGCTCGTCTGAAAGTCCATACCCAGCTGCTCGTGGTCCTTTAAGTGTTGTCACTCAAAACAAATCAAGGGAATGAGAGTTTATTTGCAAGTGGTCAACCGGTTAGATTCAAAATAGCTTGGTTGTCCACTTGAGGAGGAGTGTTAGAGTGTCATCCCACAACGGAAGTTCAAGAGCAAAATAATCAATGTATAAGCTCGTGAGTTGAACAAACTAATCAATTGGATTCAATTTCTTAATGGGGTTTAGTCCGAGTGTTTTATAGCTCAATCCAATTATCCATATCTTTATCAAGAACTTAAAGAGTTGCTTACGAGAGAGTTTTGTCTCTCTAAAGAGTTGTTTAACCTAAGTTGAATAAATAATTTAGCCTTTATAGAAGGGTTTGACACCGACAATAAGGACTTGTTTATCTAATTAGTTCTAATCCAATCAAAAAATTTATAATTTGATATGGTCTAGTTTGATTTGACTCTAGTTATTTATAAAATTATTTCTGATTTGATTTGGTCTGATCTGATCACATGGTTCAATTCGATCTGAATCCAATAAGAAAAATTTTGTACTCCATTCTTTTTTTTATAATTTTAGAGCTTGTTCAATACTTGAAATAAGAATAATATTATCCTCCATTCAATTTTTTTATTTAACAAATCATTCTTATGTTTTGATACATCGACAAATAAAGTAACTAGAAATAAAATATGCCTACACTATTTTATTTTTCAATATATTGGAAAGAATTCATAAAGAGCGGTTAAAATTTAGTTAAAATTTAGAGTAAAAAGGAACGGGGCCAGGGGTGAGTAGTGAGTACAGACTTAAATATGATGGAGCAACTGACATGATAATTGATAACAATTGATTGGGCTAATTTAATACGGAGGATTACACATGCGGACCCCATCATCAAGGCAATAAATTGTCCGGGGAGCAAGTGATTTGCTTCATTAAGTTTTCTCTCCAAACAAATCTTCATTAAGTTTTCTACATTTGGTTGAGCAAGGAGTGTCAAAGAAGAGCTAAAGTGCATATAAGGTCCCTAAATATTTTAGAAAATGCTTCCTAAGTCTCTTAATTATTTTAAATACTTACAAAGTTTCTATATTTTCTGAAAGAGCTGTTCGTAGTGTGTATCTGATCTCTATTCTTTTTAAGTGGTATGTTAGTAGTTTCTTTGGTAGCTTTTTTCTAACCAGATCTTCTAAAATTGTTGTAAAATTGACATTATATCGCAACTTTTTGAACAAGCTGTGCATGTTCGTTACTCAAACAATTTTTGCGCACTTGGTTTGAAAATGCCACCGAAGAGACTACTAATGCACCAGTTAGAAATTTTATGGATCTCTTAGGTACTGAAAATAATTTAGGGACCTATGGAGCACATTCAAATATATGTATACATGCATGCATGCATGCATGCATGCATGCATGCATGTATGTATGTATGTATGTATACACACACACATACATATATATACGGATCTAGTGAGAACTTAAAATAATTCAAGGATTTGGGAAGCACTTTTAAAAAGATTATAGGGACATTGTAAACACTTAATAGTGTCCATAATGTCTAGTGATGGCAAACATTTACTTGAATAATGAGTAATAGATAATGACAAAAAGAGCTACATTGGGATAAAAAACACATGTGATGCTATTTCGTTAAAGTCATTATGTTTTATTACTATTTAAGTAAATTCCTCTTATTTTATCGATTCGACAACGGAATAATGAATGAAAAGATAACTTTTGGATGTGGGAGTATATAGAATGGTTACCGTGGTGGCCGTGGAGACGACAAGCCCGACAACGAAGAAAATGATATGAGAAAACTCGGAGTTTATAAGATTACTTAGAAATTTAAACTATGAAATTATAATTGATGACTTTAATTCCAATTCTAATGTTTGGTAGCATAAAAATTATGTAGATATAGAATTAATAGTGCAAAAAAAGAATTAGTATTATTGAATTCAATCTTATAGAATTGAATATCACGGAATTTCAATTCTAATTCAATTTCAATTCCATCAATTCAATATACCAAACGGACCCTTAGAGTATTATTTTACAACAAACAAGGAAATAAAAGAACGTAGAAGCCAACAGCCAACAGATCGAGGATACATAGCAGTGCTGCTGATTAAATTGGACTAATCGGATAAGCAACAGGAAGCTAGAGGTGGCAGCGTCGAATGTACTAGATTAATTAGCTTCCTCCCAAGCTGGCTAGGGTTTTGCTACTTAATTGACTATTTCTTCGATTGATCAGTTTCCGGCGCGCGGGCCATGGTGCATGGAATCTTCATAGTTGATTGATGAAGACGACGCACGTTAATTATCAAACCCTGGCTTGGCAGGGTGTCATCATCACGGAGTACGGCTCAAACGGTGTTAACAGTTCCATGCACTAATTCCATGACCACTATACGGTGAACCTCCCGGGCTAATATAATGTACCACAAGGTCTGCAATCCAAAAAAAACGAACAGTAGATGTGAAGCACCAGTCCTTCTTGGCGTGAAAAATCGGAAAATATTCATCCTCTTCAATCTTCATGGACTCAAATGTTGTAAAACATGTTCTTTGAGATCGTCTATTTCATTTTCTTTTTCGAGTCTCTGCCTATCATCATCTTCCACCACAGTAAAGTTCATGAGTTCAATCGAAATCATATCCTGCCCGCTCCAATCCACGAAGAACTCAAGATGATTGGACTGATTTCCCTACTTCCTTTCCAAGTTTGCCCCGGAGTCTCATTTACAAAGAATCGTCATAACACACATGGGCGGATCTACATTCAATATAGTGGGGGCAATTGCATGCCCCCAGTCAAATTATTTTTTAGGGATGAAATTAACTAGCTATGATATTAGTGCATTTATGATTTCTATACTCGGTGCCCCCAATGAAAAACGGAAGTTACCTCCAACCCCAAAAAATAGAGTTGTTCAAATATACAGAGAATATACTCAATTTCTGATTGAAAACCAGTAACTGTGAGTAGTTAAAGTCATGCGGAGTAGTCAAATCTGATAACCAAATGAAGATAGAAAAGGAAATATTATGAATAAAAAAT